TGGGCGTGGTGGCACACGCCTGTAATCTCAGCTGCTCAGGAGGCTGAGGCAGGAGAATTGCTTGAACCTGGGAGGCGGAGGTTGCAGTGAGCCAATGCACTCCAGCCTGGGTGACAGAGTGAGACTCCATCTCAAAAAATAATAATAATAATAAATAAATAAACAAAATGTAGCCACACATGTCCTGATATGTAATGAACTCCAGAGCATATTGTCTTCTCATTCTGTCATAGTAGGATGAATATAGCATTTTTTGTTTACTCAATTTACTACTGATACCATTACTACTGATACCTTTCCAGTAGGAAGAAAGAAAAAGAAGGAGGAGGAGCAATATCTTGGCACATGCTTTTTCATGCCTTTTCATGTTCTGAATGAATAAATCTCTAGTATACATAAATATAGAGGCTCAAAGGGTACGTGCATTTAAAATTTTAACAGATCCTGTCAAATGGTCTTTAAAAGGTCTTTACCATTTTACATTCCCTCCAAGTGAGTTTAAAAGTATCTTCCTGCTCTCTAGTGAATCCTTCCTTACAGGGTATATTATATATATAATATATATAATGAAGAGTTATATATATTATCTAATTCTTCAATTTTTGCCATACAGGCAAGGAAGAGAGAATTTGGGAATTTCATTGTTTTCATTTGCATTTCTCTGATTTTGGTAAAATTGAGCATATTTTATATGCTTAGTGTTCATTTATTTTTTAAATATTCCTCATTCTTATATTAGCCCATTATTCTGTAGGGACATTTGTATTTTTCTTATTGACTTGTAAGAACTCTTTATATATCCTGGATATTAATCATTTTTCTGTCATGCAACTTGCAAAATAGTTTTCCTTGTTTCTCTTCTGAATTCTAACTCCGATTATGGTTGTTTCCAGCAAGTTAAAAGTGATGTCATCTACTTTTTAAAATAGGTTATGATATTACTACTATTTATACTAGCAACAGAGCAGAAGCTGAGAGAAAATCTGAGATTCTTTCCCTTTTCACTTCTCCTGCTGTGTTCTCTCTCAATTTGGGAGGCAATAGCCTTTTCTAACAGGGATCGAAGGGCAGAGATTTGAGAGGAAGGGGATTAAGTAGTAGCATGAAACAGCAAAGTAGATGAGCTTTTCAGTTTCTCTTGATTATTTTATTTGCTGTTGTACAGAACATTAGACAGAACCATGTGCAAATAAATGAACAAAAATTGCCAAATTCTATGGCCAAATATGAAAACACTTCCAGACTGTCTATCATTGAATACAATTCATATTACATTTTATCTCTCACTATCTAGATTCTTTTTAAAAAAATGACTTCACTTCTAATACTAGATTAAACTTTAAAACTAACACAGTGCTGGATGCCTACAGTGAAAATTCCAAGCAATGCTAAGTAAAAACACTGGTATCTTTATTTCTCCTTCTTCCCTCCTTCCCTCCCTCCCTCCCCACCTCCTTCCTTTCTCTCTCTTTCTTTCGAAAATGCATTTCTTATGTTACTGTCTTGAAGTCCAAGAAAATCTAAAAATTAAAATGGAGACAGAAATGTAAATAAAGTAGAAATATCTCCCTTAAGCCCCATTCATTGGGTTTTTGCAGGGGTACATAGGCTACCATATGACTTAGTGATTTTAAGGAATAAGTTTGTTTGGGGAAAGGAGAAAAACAAGAGACCATTGTTTATTGATTTAGAAAATATCTGTTAATGCCTGGTAAGCATCGAGGTATGTACAACGAAAAACAGGATAGAAGCCAGCCCTGCCTCCGTAGATTATTCTCTTGAAGAAAGAAAATAGAGAATCTCAAAAAAAAAAAAAAAAAAAAAAAAAAAAAGCCCAGAGATGGATATTTTGATCAACATCCAGGGATGGCCATTGAGACTTTGTGTCCCTCCTTTTGAGGAACAGATTAGAAAGTCCTAGTTTTTGATGAAGGACAGTTGTATCTTGTTAGGTAAAAACATAACATTGTTACAGTTCTTGTATGAAAGTGTCAGGATCTATAGAAGGGTATATATGAATGCTGAGTAGCCAAATGGGTAAACCGTGCTGGTTACTAAGTTATTGTCCCTCAGATCCAAATTCATCTTTCTATTTTGGGGTTTGTTTGTTTTGAGACATGGTCTTGCTCTGTTGCCCAGGCTGGAGTGCACCAGTGCAACAGCTCACTACAGCCTTCAACTCCTGGGCTCAAGCAATCCTCCTGCCTCGTCCATCCCAAGTAGCTGGGACTGTAGGAATGCACCACCATGCCTGCCTAATTTTTTAAATTATTATTTTTGTAGATATGGGGTCTTGTTATGCTGCCCGGGCTAGTCTCAAACTCCTGGCTTTAAGCTCTCCTCCTCCCTCAGCCTCCCAAAGTACTGGTATTACAGCTGTGAGCTATTGCACCTGACCCAAATCCACCTTTCTATGCTCTACTTTGTGGGCATAGAAGGCAGGATCTCTTGGGCTGGGCATGTGGTTCACACCTGTAATCCCAGCACTTTGGGAGGTCAAGGGTGATGGATCACCTGAGGTCAGGAGTTTAAGATCAGCCTGGCCAACATGGTGAAACTCCAGATCTACTAAAAATACAACAAACTAGCCAGGCGTGGTGGTGGGCGCCTGTAATCCCAACTACTCAGAAGGCTGAGGCAGGAAAATCACTTGAACCCGGGAGGCAGAGGAGGTTGCAGTGATCTGAGATGGCACCATTACACTCCAGCGTGGGCAACAAGAGCAAACCTCCGTCTCAAAAAAAGAAAAGAAGGCAGGATCTCTATCACCATATTTCTCCTTTGACGGCTGGCTCCCTGATAAATGCTGCCAATGAGGAGGAAGGTGCTAGAGGGAAACTGAGGGACGAGAAACTTACTCCTGCTTGGTTGCTGTTCCTATCAGGATCACCTAACTCTTGACCCTGACAGTAGCCATTGATTCCAAGGTCCAGCTTTTTTTTCCATACGCCTAGAACTATCATGTTTTGCCAGCTGTATCAGAACCAGCTGGCTGTGATGTCATCTGCTTTACTCCATAGAAATCTGGCTTCCCTATGGTGCTGAAGGTCTTCCCTCTGAGCTCCCAGTAGCAGGAGAGCTGGTGGTAGCTAATTCCCACAGTTCTACCTCCTTGGAACCTCAGCCTTCCCTTTCTGTCTCTTCTGTTCTCCAATATTTGCTTAACCAATCCTTTTCATTTAATTATGTCTGTTAAAATAAGATACGATTTCTGTTTCCCTGACCAAATCCTAACTGACACTTACAGAAAGCACCTGTCATGCTTCTCAGGAAATGAGGAAGCACTCCCTTAAATCCAAAGTGAATTCTCTGGGCTCTGTGATAATGCTACAGACTGAATGTTTATGTCACCCCCAAATTCATGTTGAAATCTCAACCCCTCAGTGTGATGGGATTAGGAGGTGGGGCCTTTGTGAAGTGATTAGGTCATGAGGGTGGGCCTCAAGAAGGGGATTATTGTCCTTATAAAGGAGACCCCAGATAACTCATTCCCCCTCTTCTCCACGTGAGGACACAGTGAGGAGGTGACTGTCTATGAAGAGAGGCCTCAGCAGACACTGAGTCTGCCAGCACCTTGATCTTGAGCTTCCTAAGCCTCTGGAACAATGAAAAATAAATGTCTGGGGTTTTTTTCTTTCTATCCACGTTGAGTAAAAAAATGCCTGTTATTTGTAAGCCACCCAGTCTGATTTTTTAAAAGCAGCCTGAAAGATGAAAACAGATAACATAACATAATGCAAAAACACTATGTTTTTAATATAAATATAAACTATATTTTAAATGTTTACCCATTTGCCAAGCAGGGCTCTTCTTTCTTCAAATACCTACAATAAGTAAAAAAGAATATGGTAATTTCATATATCATACTTCAAAATACCCATTACAAGAACGATATCATTAAGGGATCTGTGAATAAATATTCATTGTATCAGCTGAATATAAAAAGACAGATTTTACTCCTGAGGTTATGTATTTTTACCCTGGGCAAGGTTTCTCTCTTTTTTTATTTCAGTTTCTACATGTGGAATAATTCATGTGAAAGAAGAAGTAATAAGGCTGGGTACAGTGGCTCACACCTGTAATCCCAGCACTTTGGGAGGCCGAGGCAAGCAGATCATTTGAGCTAGAGAGTTTAAGAGCAGCCTGAGCAACATGGTGGAACTCCATCTCTACAAAAAATACAAAAAATTAGCCAGGTGTGGTGGTGTGTCCCTGTAGTCCCAGCTGAGGCTGAAGTGGGAGGATCGCTTGAGCTCGGGGAGTTGAGGCTGCAGTGAGCTATGATCATGTCATTGTACTTCTTACCTGGGTGACAGCACCAGACTCTGTAAAAAAAAAGAAGAAGAAAAAGAAGAAGAAAAAGAAAGAAGTAACAGTTGTTTAAAGGGAAAGAAATTTTAAAAATGGAATTATAAAGGTAAATCAGTTTTAGAATTTGAAAGGAGATGAAAAAACTAACAAAAAAACAGGAACATGAAACTCCCCCATCTGAAATGTTTCAGTATTAATAGTATGAGAATTTACGAAACAGGTGAATGATCAGTTCTGTTTTTCTATTTCAGTGTATACACATATCAGTGGGTGTACAAGTATGTACACATCTGTAGGATTAGAAATGTGTGTGTGTGCACCTCTGGACTTCCACTTGAATGTTTGTTGGTATAGGTTTATTACAATATACTATTTAGGACAGAAACTAAGTCTTATTCATCTTGACATCTCCAGCAGAGTGCTTACAGAGCATGTTACAGGTATCTATGTTTATTGAATTGAATGAATGTGATTGTGAGAATGAATATCCTTATGGATGTATCAGTACAATATGAGTATCTTTATATATTGGTGCTGAGGTGCTTTTCTGAGCATCAGTGCATATGTACATTTCAGTGAGTTTTAGGAAAGGAAGACTAATGTGGGTACATGTGGCAAAGAAGGGGCTTATTAAGAGAGGAAGAGAAAGAGAGTAATGAACATATTTGAATGTCTCACTTGCTTTATCCCATACACCCTCTGTCAGCTTTCAAAATCAGGATTGATATTTTTCCCTCCTCTTGGCACTCACTACATTCTCTAGTGCTGTAAGAATGTTCCCTCTTGGAGAGGTGGCTCAGACCTATTTCTTCTCTTTTTATGGAAGAGGTTGAGGAGCTGGTTTTATGCTTCCCACAGATCGTGTTTTCCTTCCTTTTTTAACTCTCAAGCTCTGGTTGCCAAGGACATACAAAATAGGAATTGAAATAACTGGTTCAGCCACCACCTCGGGACCAGTGAAATGTCAGTTTTGCTCTTGGCCAGGGAATCTCTTCTGTCACAGACAGACACTTTTTGCACATAAAAGAAGAAGAAAAAGACCCTTCCCCGCAGCTAACTGCCACCTGGGCTACCAGGACCCTCAAATAATGGCAACAGATAAACTCAGAATTTCTAGATGAAAAGAAGTAGAAGAGAATCTGTAGAACACAGAAGATTCAAAATATCTGGATCCAAATATTGTCTGAATTCTTCTCTATCAATCATGCATCACCCAACCCGTGCAACCAGTGTTGTCACTTTTCTGAAGCCCAGGGATTTCTCTCCTCCCAACTCCTACTCCATTTATAGTTCATGCTTCACTTAGACTTTATAGTATTTGTTTTGCTCTCTAGTGGTGTCTGTTAATTTTATCTTCCCAAGTAGATTACAACCACTTTCTCTTACATGCTCCATAGAACCCTCAAGTACAGAGTCCATGGAAGGCCCTCAATAAACCATTTTGCTGATTGACTAACAACAAGAAGAAAGCTTCAGAAGTCATCGAATTTTAGAGCTAAAAGGAATCCTAAAGATCTTTTTATTCGATTCCTATATTTTAGAAAGGATAAGCAGAGGACCAAAGAGGTTATATTTACAGATATTTAAAAAATCTCTGGGTCCAAACTATGTGTTCAGCTCAACACTGCACTTGATTCCTCACCAGATCCTTGGTCTTCCCCATTCTGACTTCCAGCCTTACATTCTTGATGAACTTCTGCCCATGCTTTGGTATGACTATAAGAAGAAGCAGAGGTTAGGTCCTGAGACCACAACAGAGCTTCAAGAGGAAGTTGAAGCATGGTGTCCAATGATGGTGTAATCCATTGGAAACAAAAGGAAACTGACTTAAAGGGGAAAAGACGGTCAACAAGAGGGTAGTAGAAAAGGAATGGGGTGGATATTGGGAAGTGCTACACAGGCTAAAACATGAGACAAAGTCTAAGCAGAGTCCATGCAAGTCCAGCTCTTTACCAGAAGGTAAACTCAAGCAGAAACTGATGGGACACAAGGGGTAGAGGAAAGACACTAGACTGAAAGTCAGGAGACCCCAGATCTGGTTCTGACTCTACCTTTGACAAGACGTATCATTTTGGGCAGATAATTTTGTCGTCAGGTTCTCAGTTGGACTTACAGTCTTACACACCCTGGTTTGGAGCAAGTCTTTATTTCAAAGATTTGCAATCAGGTTCTTCATTTTAAAGAGCTGGAAAACAAAGTATTTCTTCCAAATGGAAATATTAAAATGGATCTTCTTTTCTTGCAAGATGCTGCAGTCTGTTTATATCACAGTTTACTCAGAGCCTGCTGTTAAGTCAGAATCCCACGGTTGTTATTTTAGTCTGTTGACACTGTAGTTACATATTTCACCGTGTGACATCATTACAATGTAGGAGTGAGATATTTAGGGGCCCCTAAATAATGATCGATTGATGGTAACTGGGTGCTTTTTCTCAGAACACCTTTTTTTAACATGTACTGTACAA